TAAGTATGTTAAGTTATGTAATGTAGATAAGCATGGCAACATTAACAGAACAGATTTCACAATGGAGTTTGACGTGAATTTCTCACCCATACAAAAAGGGAAAGAATGGCACATATTGAGGCCACGCTGAGATAATGGGTGAGATAAGTGATGAAATGAGCATTGGCGAAATAAGCATGAGACTTTGAGATGGAAATATCAACAAAACTCATTCTCTATGGAGATCAATAGACAAAAATAACCCCAGTATGATGTGACACCAATAATCTACCATAGATTTGGGTCAAACTGTCATGTAAAAGCTGGCCTTTCCTACAGGAATGATTGAGAATATAAAGCTGCTCTGATCAATATTTTTATGTTGACAATGTATCAAATGTGTAAGGGGTCGATAATGCTTACCAAAATCTGCAGTTCCTCTCAGCTCTACAGAGCTTTTTAGCATGTTAGGGGTGCCCTGGTAGCTCATCTGATAGACCTGGTCCCCCATGTACCAAAGCTGGAGCAGTCATGGGTTCAGCTCTGACCTGTGGCCTTCTGCTGCTTGTTATGTAAACATGCCCCAACTTTATAAGGTGATGTTATATAAAAGTTGTGTTTTTGTCTTGTTGCTCTGCCCCCAAGTGGCAATCAGTTAATCAAAAAATCTATTAATGCAGGTTTGAATTTAGTAGATCAACCAGAGGAGTAAAATCAAAGCATAATATTGTAAGCCCGGATAAGCGGATGAAGATGAAAATGAATATTGTAAGCCAGATATAAAATAAGGTAAAAAAAATGATCAATTCTAGCAAAAAAAGAAAAGTCAGCTCATATCGCCTCATAAGTCACATGACCACCTGTAGACAGTCTTTTAGTAAAACGGACTGCAGTTAACTGGAAACCATCTGGTCTATGTGAGAATGCTGCTGTAGGCGTCATGGCAACATGCACAAGGAGGAAGTCAAGAGCAAGAGACAACCATGGTGGGAAACTGATCTGGGCAGTGCTGCGCAAATCAGCACAGCATGAGATAGCCATGTATCACATCAAAACACTCTTCAGAGCATATATAGTATATATCACCAGTTATATGTTGTTGTTGTCGTTCCTACACGTGGAACATAACTCTTTCATCTAAAACAGATGGACTGAATTCCACATTGGACTTTTAGCTGTTAGATGTCTCCTCGATCTGCTCAGACTTGTCCCCCCTGCTTTAATTGACTTCCTTGTTCCTAGCCACTGGGGGTGACCCTTTGAAAGGCCAGACAAACACAACTCAACCAGAGGAGACTGGACCTCGGGAGGTGTAGCACCAGTTCCAAACTAAGACAATAACTAAATCCCAGCGAGAGTACAAAATGTTTTCCAACATTTGAAGAGGACCACTCAGGAGCCAAGGAGCTATTGTATCACAGGCAACGCAACCTGCATGAAAATTGTACTCCACATATGAGAGTAACAGACGCAAGGGAGCATGTGTTTGTGTGTGTACGTGTACTTACGGGCATCCTCAGTGTGTGTGAGAGAGGGGATAGAAGCTGGCACTGTCAGAACGCCAAGCGAAGGAGAAATGGGGATAAGAGCCTCTTCAAAGAGCGGTGAATTTGTCAAAGAAGCCAGTGCCATTTAGCACGTACACTGAAATAAGTGCCGGAAGAGTAGTGAGTGAGAAAGCTGAGAAACAAAAGAGGTGAGGCGGGGGGGGGGGGGGGGGGGGGGGGGGGGGGTGCTTGGTGGTACTTGGATAGATGAAGATTCATGTCACATTTGCGAGAAAGCTTTACCCAACATCAGAGAAAGAAAGGCGCACTTATTGTCACCCCTGAGCTCTTCTCCCTGGACGATGAAACCTCGCTTCTAGGTTTCCAGTTGTCTGCTTTGGCAAGCTTCCTCCTTCTCACCTCATTTTACAAGCAGTGGGGGCCTTTAAGCAAACTCATTCCCTTGAAATAGGCTAATTGTGTTCAGTTGACTTCCTTGGATGCAACAGCCCTTACAAGTTAATCACCCAGGAAAGCCTCTTAGTGACAGCTATGCCTTAATTGCATACCAGACTGTGCCCATCAATTTGGATGGCAGCAAATCCACACATTCCATCCGCATGGGAATGAGACGTTCTGTCGAAAACTTTCCGCTCTCGCTGAAAGAAATCTTCATCTGAGGAAGCCCACAGCAGAGAGAAGCATTAGAAATCCATGCCACAGCAGTCAGATTGTGTAATAGAGGGATTTTGATTAAAGGTACCACCCCAACTTCAGCTTCTAAAATCCCACAGTGTTGCTGTTATGACCCTCCAGCAGGTCTTTTTGTGTTTAGACTCTTCAGCAGAAGCTATCGCCGGGGGCCTTCAGTCCTCACCAAACCATTAAAGGCAAAACAAACTGACCAGTGTGACTATAAAAGAGGAATGCGGCGGGGTGGATTTGTTTTTACGTGATGTGACCGTGCCCACTCATCTTCGCCCCAGTCTCGGCTCTTCTGCTCGTCCCATGCTGCGTCTTAGCAGTTTATCCAGGGGAGCGGGGTTAAAACGCTAACCTTTTCCACACAGCAATAACTTCCCACCATGACACCGAACCAACATTGCTTCAGTGTCCCTCAGCGCTCGCTGTGAAAATGTCAGACAAGCTCTTTTCATCTGAGGGAAATCCTATCTGATTTACTCTCCCCCCTCTTCCTCAGCCGAGGAGCCTGTTTGTTCAGGGCCATGTTTCATTTGAATATCAAAGCCTGTGAGGAGGTGGCCAGACACTTTAAATGCCATTTTTTTGGGCTTTTCTCAAGGAATGTGACTGCTTAAGTGTCCTTGACGAAGGGACCTGATCACTGAGACAATTCTTCCTTTGTGGCGGCAGGGTGACGGTAATCTCTATCTATCTACTCTCCGCTCTGTAGACGAGACGAACACAGAAATCCATTTGCATCTCAGTGTGCAGCTCTTTTAGGCTCCACAGTTTTAGATGGCATTTGAGAAATTGTTCACATTTTTGTCCGTGAAACCAAACAACCATGATGGTGAACATGCTCCTGGCATGTCCTACTTGTATTTACTAAGCTGCATTCATAATTAACTATGCTGAACCAACTGTTGAAGAGACACACTAGAGTCAGTGTTGGGCTCTGGCACAGCTGCTCCAACTAACACAGTGCTTGGAAAGTTGATACAAGAACAACTTAATTGTTTAATGCGTGTTACAAAAGTTTTTCTCCACATTATCGCTGGAATTGTTGCTGGAATCTTTACTTTATGCAAAAAATCTGAAAAATCTTGTTTTTGTCTATTATCTGAAAATAAACGAATAACATGTTAATAAAAACGTAAAGGTGCCCTCAGTTTTTATTGGAAACAAACAAAAGTTTCTGACCAAAATCCTGTTGAGTGCATTTCTTCCACCTTAAAAAACTGTACAGTTGATTTTTAAATACCTAAAATCATGCATTGTTTTCATCTATGTTCTACTAGCTCGCTGTCTTCTTCTTTCTTGCCTTTAATGGTGCATCGCTTGCATGATGCAGCCAACGGTCAGTCAGAGGAATAAAGTGAAATCGTTGGCAGGAATGTGTATCGCAATGCAATGTACTTGTGTTATTCATGTGCATCCATATACGTAAGATACAAACAAAATAAGGTTACACCCATAAAAACACTGCTTCTATTAGTGGTCAAAAACTCTACAGGGTACCTTTATTTCCTAAAGGATGTCATAACAGGGCCTACTAACCATCATCACTTTCTCATTTGTTGTTATTTTGACCTCTCTAAGAGGAGGAACCCATAATATTAAATAGTAAAATCGAGAGAATGTTGCATGCACTTTGAAGCTTGTGGCCAACTGAATGATACATATTCATATTTTTATAATTTACTTTGGAAAATTGAAAAAAGACAAAAAGGAAACCTGTGCAAAGACAATAATTGCAAGGGGGTGAAACTGTTTACCTTAAATTTGGGCAATAGTAGATGCTGAAACAGGAGGCTGTGTCTCTCGATGGCTGTGCTTCAATTCATCAGCTCTAATTTGCACAAGAATAGGTTCCACATATGCGTTTTACTGAATCTAAGAAGGAACGTCTATAAGCAGATCTATTGTTGCAGCCTGCCTCTCTTCTTTATGCAAACAGATGAAGACATCAGATAAATCCTGCAAAAAAGCAAACAAAAACATGACAACTGGACAATGGCATAGTGTTCTCACGATAACACTATCAACCATCAAACTCTTTACCCTCTCTCAGCCTCTTTATCTGGGCATGAAGGATCTACCTGTAGCTTCTTTTTTCTGCGACAAAAGCTTGACGTGTTCCAACAATGCTCTCCAGGTGGCCCTCATACTTTCATCTGATGAGCGTGAAATGAATAGAGGTACGAACAGTGACCCTTGTGTCGTTGTTATGAACTCTAAAGCATCTAAACAAAAGCGACACGTGGATTAAGGTATCCAAAGATGCCTGCTGCAGTTTATTGTATGGACTGCAGGATTTATTTTCCCCTGCACTGGCACGTTAGGTTTAAAGTTTTACACTGATCTCTCTAGCTCTGTGATCTGGACGTCACTGTCACCTTTTCCTGGGCGTCCTCCCTTGTCTTAGAGTCAACACGCCATGTCCACATTGCTTTTTTCCCCCTTGTGTTTAATTTTATTTGATAGTGTGCTGCAATTTGTTTTGTGGGTGGTTGTAATTAATTAGATTTAGATCTTGGCTCATAATTCGTGTGTCCTTTGAGGCAAAGCTTTTGATAAAGAATCCTTAAGCCTTGCTATAATTATTTATCTGGTCTTGAAAAGGAATTTCCTGTTGGCCGTGCAACCATTTTTATCGAAGCAGTTCACTAAACACAAACAAAAGCAATACAAGCACACAGGGGCTATTTACGTTGATTTGTTTACTTGTGTAACCTACTTTCTGTTGGAGATTGCCCTTTGTTGGTCTTCACCATAGACTGTAGCGGTGCAGTAAGCTGTCTTCACCGAGGGCGTCGCTGTTTAAATTCTCGCGAGATTACCAAACAGGAAGAGAGAGAAGGTCAAGAATTAAACATGGCAGCCCGCAGCATGTTGAGGTCTGTGTGGACCTCGCTTGAAGGTTTAAAATTAGGAGCCTCGGGTACCAACGTGAGGGTTCAACAGTGGATAAATGTCCCCCAGCTACCGGCAACAAGCATTCAGAGCCGAGGGATCCGCATAGGTGAGACCTGTTGACGCAAATGTTGACGTTAGCTCGGCGATGGTAGAAGAGCGACGCAGGTTGTGATGGAAACCTTACAGGAACTGACAGTGATCATCTTAGAGTCACAAAGAGAGCTGAACAACATACACTAATATATATATATATATATATATATATATATATATATACTGCACTGCAAGTGCAACAACAGCCAAAACACATATTACAATAAAACGGTCATGTCAGTGTTTGTCAGAAAGTTCATGTGTTCCGCATTGAGGCCAGCCCCTTCCTCTGTCATATCTTTCGGGGTATTGTTATTAAGTTCCAACCACACAAAGATGACTACTGGGGACTGAGTAATAGGTTTCATTGTGTAGTTTTACTTCCTCCTAGCCTTCACTTTACATTGCTTTGTACATGGTTTAAAATTAGGGTCTATTTCTACACTTTTTTTGCACATCTGAGAATGTTTTGATGAGTTCATAATAAATGACGCTCATGACCCAGTGAGTATAAAAAACTGTTCGTTAATTGTGATTTTAGCTCGAGTTACGAGACTGGCTTTGCATGCTTTGATAGCCTGGCATATTAATTGTGACTAATGTGGAATGGTCGTACCACTC